AGACAAGTTTAGCAAATGAAGTGACTTGAGTTCTCCCAGCTCTTCAGGAATGTGTCCATGGAATCTATTACTTGAGAAATCAATAGTTGAGAAAGCCATCGGGATTCTCGTCAGCTCCACGTATGAACCTTTCAGTATTACCATCACAGAATCATAGTAATGGGGATTAGTATGCCTTGAAATCCTGGCAAAAAACTGTGCACCCATATAGTCCAATTCACCTTCCTCTTCATGTACATCTCTCATACTTGTCAAATTTTTGAAATAGCTACTCGGCAGGAGACCCGTGAAGTCATTATGCGAGACATCAATGATTCTCAACCCAGGGAAGTAAAATGCAGGTGTAGAGTTGTAAATGGCACCATGAAATCGATTGGATCGAAGGATGAGAACTTTTAGCCCTGAAAGAACACCTAACCAATGTGGAAAGGTGTCATTCAAGTAATTGTTCCCCACATCAAGAACTCGTAAGAATCTGCAATAGCCCAAAGTCCGTGGCAATATCCCCTCCAACTGGTTGCCATTTAGGTTAAGAGTTATTAGTTGACTCTCGTTGACAAAAGAATTTGGTATTATACCATGAAACTTATTCATCCGCAAATCCAAGATGGAGAGATAACTCAAGTTTCCAAGACATTCTGGAATTTTTCCTCCCAAATTATTATTAGCTAAGATTAGAACATTAAGAAAAGTCAAATTGCAATAAGAAGAAGGGATTTCGCCAATCAAATTATTCCCTGAAATGACGAGATGCATAAAACCCCAAGTTGTTGATAGAATGGGAAGTGATCCTTGTAGTAAGTTGGAACTGAGGTCAACTTGGGCAAGATTTTCAAAAGCAAACAAATCTATACCGGTCAAAAAGTTATAAGAAAGGTTTAAACTGACCAATGACATCCCTTCAATTTCCCATTTGTGAATTTGACCAGAAATCTTGTTCTTGGAAATATCCAATACTTCCAATCTCTCTGCCTTCCTTAAGAAACTTGGGAACTTGTGTATGTTGCAAGAAGAGAATTTTATATACCAGAGGTTCGGAAAGGAATAGTTGACACCAGTGCTATTATTGCTCAAAGACAACAAATTGTTATTGGAAAGATCCAGATCCTGAAGGTTAACAAGTTTTGAAAGCATGTTGGCTGTAATGGTGCCACTTAAATTATTTGAAGAAAGATCGACCACGGCAAGATTCACAAGATGAAAGAAAGAGCTAGGAATTTCACCATCAAAACTATTAGCAAAAAGGCTCAAATGAGTTAGCTTTTGCATTTTTCCCAAAACATCTGGAATTGATCCATAAAATTGGCAACAATCAAGATTCAGATACTCGAGGGTACTACTTGGGCTTGACTTATGCAAATTACCTCTTAAATGAGAGTTGTCGCTTAAATCAAGAAACTGGAGAGATGAAAGCTGAAAAACTTGGCTTGGAAAGTTTCCTTGCAAATTACAAGAGCAAAGGCTCAAATGCTCCAAGGAAGAAGTCAAGTTTAGTAAGGAAGAAGGCACAACCAGAGACATATTCACAAAATCAAGGCTAAGAAACCTTAATTCTGTTAAGTTATGCACAAGCATTTGAAACTTTATGTTATCAACAAGCAAATCATAATTATAGGAGAGATCGAGTGAGACCAATTTTTTCAGCTGAAAAACTTGGCTTGGAAAGTTTCCTTGCAAATTACAAGAGCGAAGGCTCAAATGCTCCAAGGAAGAAGTCAAGTTTAGCAACGAAGAAGGCACAACCAGAGACATATTCACAGAATCAAGGATAAGAAACCTTAATTCTGTTAAGTTATGCACAAGCATTTGAAACTTCATGTTGTCAAGAAGCAAATCATCATTATCAGAGAGATCAAGTGAGACCAATTTCTTCAACTGAAAAACTTGGCTCGGAAAGTTTCCTTGCAAATTACAATAGCGAAGGCTCAAATGCTCCAAGGAAGAAGTCAAGTTTAGCAAGGAAGAAGGCACAACCAGAGACATATTCACAGAATCAAGGATAAGAAACCTTAATTCTGTTAAGTTATGCACAAGCATTTGAAACTTTATATTGTCAAGAAGCAAATAATAATTATGAGAGAGATCGAGCGAAACCAATTTTGGTGGCAAGAAGATTTCATCAAACAGGAGAGAGCCATCCATCTGTCCTGAATCTGATGCAAGGTTAAAGATTTGTCATATTAGAAGAAGTGAAACCGGTTTCAGAAGCATGGAGATTTAAAAAAATAAAAAATAAAAGTAAAGAAATAAAATCTCGTACCTGAAAGATTAAGATATGTTAAACTCTTCCAACGGTCGAACCCAAATGAGATGTTAGGATAATGAAAATAATTGCCAGAAAGGTCGAGACTCTGCAATTTCTCAAGGAAGAAGAGACTACTATTTGTGGTTAGATTGGCTTTAAGACAATTACTGCTAAGATCAAGGCCAATCACGTGACCTTTCCGCTTGTCGCATGTGATGCCCTCCCACAAGCAGCAGTCTTTACTCTCGTTCCAAGTTTGTATTATAGGACGAGGAAAACAATAAGGGTAATACATCATCACCGTGGTGCTTTTGAAATCAAGCAATGCAGAATGCTCTTCAGGATGGCACAAATGTGGCAGTGAATTAAGAGAAGATTGAGAAGGTGAGGAGCTTTGGACTCGAAACTGTAACAAAATGAAGGACAGGCAGAGGATTTGGGAAAACCATATTAAGCTTCCCATTTTCTTAAGGATGAACAC